CGCAGTCCCCTGAGTCGTTGTTTGGATTGGCTGCCCCATCTTCGGACCCACATGAGTCGTCCACACTTTCTGCTTATGGGCGATTTTAACTGTCCTCGAATACGATGGCCTGATGTGCATTTGATGCCTGGACATAGTGAGGTTGAAGCAAAGTTCGTGGATTTGGTACTTGAAACTGGTGCATCGCAACACATATGCCAGCCAACACGCATATCAACACGTTCAAACTCGTCCTGTCTCGACCTGATGTTAACGAGCTACGAACAACGAGTGCGTGACGTTAGGATTTTGGAGCCCCTGGCTACGAGCGACCACTCAGTACTGATAGCTGATATGGAATTATCTTTGCCGTATTCACATCCGCTGCAACCAGCTCCCAACTACTGGAAAACCGACTTCGATGGTCTTGCTCGAGCCGCGAGTCAACTGGATTGGTCTCTGTCACAAACTGCATCTGTGGAAGATTGTTGGATATTTATAAAAGAGAGATTGACATCATTGTGTTCCAAATTTGTGCCATTGAAATGTCGAAAGGTTGGACCGATTAAGCCTCATTGGTTTGATAAGGAGTATGGAAACCTGGCTCGGAGGCGGCGCAGACTGTGGGACAAATTCCTTCTCTCTGGCTCTGCCAATGATTACGAAGGGTATAAATGTCAGCGGAATCTCTGCAACAGTGCAAAAAAGAATAAACGCCGACACTTTGAAGAGCAGCTCGCATTAGCAGCGAAGACCGCCCCAAAGAGAATCTTTGCATACGTGAAGCGACGCCTGAAGCCGGCGGGTGATGTGCCAGTGCTGGATGGCGCGGATAGACAGCCCCTAACCTCCAGCACTGAGCGTGCGTCCGCGTTGGCGGCGCACTTCGCTTCTGTATTTGCGAATAACCAGGTGTCTGTTCCGAGTTCGACGTGTACCGCTTTTACCGAACTCGATAGTCTGCATTGCGGCGTCGAAGAGGTAGCTCAACTACTCGCCAACCTTGACGGCACCAAACCTGCGAGACCTGATAGGTTCACCAACTGGTTCTCAAGTCACCTTTGACCATCATCTCTCCTGTCCTGGCTGACCTTTTCAACAGGTCGCTCTCCGAAGGTTCGTTGCCGGTTGACTGGAAATGTGCGGTGGTGAAGTCTTTTCCGAAAGGCGGATTCGCTAGCAAAGTAGACAACGACAGGCCAATTTCTCTGACACCTATTTTGGCAAAGGTTGCTGAGAAAATCGTGAACAAGGGATTGCTGTAGTTGCTACAGTCAAACGTGGTCCTGACGCCCGCACAGCACGGTTTTATGCAAGGTCGCTCATGCATTACCAACCTGCTTGCGACGAGGCATGAGTGGTTGAAGGCAATAAACAAGGGGAAGTCCGTCGACGTGATATTCATCGATTTCAGTAAAGCGTTCGACAAGGTCAGTCATGAGGTTATCCTTCACAAACTCAGCATGTGTGGCGTCGGTGGCTCACTACACCGGTGGATCCGCGACTTTCTTGTTGGACGAAAGTGGAGGATACAGGTCGACGACCATCTAACTGACTGGTACCCCTCTACAAGTGGCGTGCCTCAAGGCACTGTGCTGGGGCCCACTTTGTTCCTGATCCACATCAACGATCTACCGCAGCTTCTCCGGTCGCCGTGTGCTTTGTTTGCGGACGACATGAAGATTTGGAGAGAAATCGACGCTCCCGACGACTGTGGCCTACTTCAGCAAGATCTCAACCGCTTATCCACATGGTCTGCAGAAGTTCTTCTCCCGGTCAACCCAGCCAAGTCGGTATTTATGAGTCTGGGGAAGGGTGCAGACGACCGAACCTACACCCTTGACGGCCAAACGCTATATCCCACACCCTCCGTGAAGGACCTAGGTGTACTCTCACGTTACGATTTGAAGTCCGTGGACAACACGAACAGGCTATATCGTAACGGACTGCGCATGCTTTGGGCGCTCAAACGTAGCTAATTCTGAAGAGGTTGCCACTCGCCTGTTCTCTTCTATCATTAGACCAATGCTAGAGTACGGTTCGCCCGCCTACTTTTCGATTACCCGAGGCGAGGCACAAAAGAGCGAACGGGTCCAACACGTTGCTACCAGGCTGATCCCGAGTTTACGTGGTTTTGGGTATGAAGACCGGTGCGAGAAATTAGGACTCTACACCTTGTCCTACCGTCGGGTACGTGTCGACCTCATTATGACCTACCGAATTCTACATCTCGGTGAGTTCCCCATGTTAAGGCCAATGCTGCACTTACGAGGGCCATGCAGCACACGCGGACACAGATACAAACTTGTTGTGCCGGATATGAAACGTGTTCCCCACCCACTGTGCTTCGAACGGAGAGTGGTAAACATTTGGAATGGTTTGCACGAACATGTGATTGAGGCAACATCTGTGCAACAGTTCAAAACGTTGTTAGATTTGCATTTTGCCTCCATTCGATTCAGAGAACGACTGCATACTTACAATGACATATCACATTTGTGAATCCTGAAATATCGTAAGTCGAATATTTTAAATATTACATGAGAACGACAAGGATATTCACGGTTGACAACTATTATAATGTTTTTCACAATATTTCGAAAGAGTTGTACAGAATCCATTTCTACTTGCTCTATAATACAGTATTTAGTATTCAGTATTACTTTTGACAATAGAGATGAGGGTTCGACTTTCTTGCTCCATACTGAATCTTCTCAATTAATTTGTTCATGTTGGTTAGATTAAAACGGCATCCACAGGTCTGATTGCTCCATCCCGTCAATTCTATTCACCTAGTAATTGGCCTTGAAGGGACGCACCTTCACAACCTTTGATCTTTTTCTTTTTCCTCAAAGTCCTACCATAGTGATCTTGACCTTTGTCAATATCATGTCCCATGTCTAATGCTTGCACCGTTACTACCAAATATCTGCGTAGTGCTGCATCAAGGAATGTGAAGCTGTTATATCATCATCATCATCATCATCATCATCATCATCAACAGCAGTACATCAGCCATTTGAACTGATGCTTCGCTGCCATACAACCATGAGGACCTATGAAATAAAGAAGAAGAGGGAGAGAAGGGGGACTTACCTGAAAACCTTAATGCCCTAAGCAAACATTCAGGGTCAAGGCGCCTACACCTTGTGTACACAACATACCGTCACAAACAGCTGGCTATCGTGCAAAGATAAGGCGGCATCGGCGAGACAGCTTCCTTGCGGCTTTCACTGCCACGCGTCATAATCAGCCATCACCCTGCAGATAACTCAGCACCAAACACACTTTAAACAGACAATCCGATTAGGAGACGGCAGCAGACGCGCCACTGGTGTCGGTTGCGAGCCATGTCCTGTAAAGTCTCGAGCCAAGCACAAGGTGAGTCACGTGGACTCCAACCCGGAAGGCGAGACGGACCAACGGCACCCAGTTTTGGTCGTCAGTGACTTCATCTCCCGCTGCCAAGTCAACTTCTGTCCACCTCGAGCCTTGCGCCATCCGACACCTGGTAGACTGAACAAGGCCCTCCTAGGTAAGCGGTGACCAGGCATGCGTAGCACGTGCCCGAGCCAACGCAACTTATTCAGTGCTATCTGTTGTTCTAGGGAGCTAGCATGATCATCACCCCCTAGTACTCGCCTACGCACATCATCGTTGCGGACACGCTGGTGCCATCCGACACCAGCAATGCTTCGCAAACAACGATGATCAAAGACTTGAAGGCGCCTCAGATCTTCAGACCGAAGGGGCCAAGTCTCACCACCATAGAGCAGAACGGCCCTCACTGTGGCCTTGTATACACGGCCTTTCAGACGGAGGGAAACTCTCTTCTGTCGCCAAAGATGACGCAGGTTCAAGAAGGCAGCTCTGGCCTTTGCAATGCGTGAGCTCACGTCAGTTTCTATGCGCCCATCATTGCTGATGCAGCTGCCAAGATAAGTGAATTGATCAACCACACCGTGTTCCTCGTTGGCAAGCGTCAAGGGGTCATCGAGTGGCTGGTGGTCCTGCAGCAACACTTTGCACTTTGAAGGTGCGAAGTGCATACCAAATAATGGGACCACTCTGGATAGGCTATTCAGGGTTGATTGTGCCGCCTCAACATTGTCGAAAAGCAAGACGATATCGTCTTGCATAATCTAGATCAACTAACCGTTCACCAGGCAGCACTTCAACACCTACATCGTGAGATTCCGCAAGGGAACACTCCATGATAGAATCCACGACGAAATTGAACAAAAATGGGGAAATCGGGCAACCCTGTCGAACGCCACTTGTAGTCGAAAAGCTATCTGACAGGACACCATAGACCCTGACGCGGCCTCTAGTGTTCGAGTATAGAGCACGAAGGATGTTCACATATTTCGTGGGAACACATTTCCGCGCAAGTATTTCGAACAGAATCGATCGATCGACTGAATCGAACGCACTCTTGAAATCGAGGAACACAGCTATTGTCGGTCTGCGGTATGCGTGGCGCTGCTCTAGCACCTGCCGCAAAGTAAATATATGGTCTATACAGCCACGTCTTGGGCGAAAACCGGCCTGCTCTTCCCTAATCCGTGATTCCCGTTCTGCAGTGAGGCGACGAACGATAATCGAGGCCAGTAATTTTGTCACAACTGGCGTTAGGCTAATACCCCTGTGGTTCGCACAGTCTGTGCGACTGCCCTTCTTGTATATTGCCACTATAATCGATTCGCTCCAATTAGCCGGCACACTCTCTTCGTTCCAGATACGTTCGAATAGGGAGGTCAGTGCTTTGCAGAGGACCTCACCACCATCCTTAAATAGTGCAGGTGGTAGGGAATCCGGGCCAGCGGCACGAAAACGATTAAGGGCTGTGATCGCGTTTCGGACTTCGGCCTCCGACGGAGGTTCTAAACTAACCGTCCATGGCTCGTCCTGCATCACCTGAGTAGGAAGAGGTCCGGGAGCAGGGGGCCAGCTGAACTGATGTTCAAAGTGCTCAGCCCAACGAGCCATACGGCGCTCATTATTGTGTATCAACGCACCTGCGCTGTCCCTGATTGTCTCACTGACGCCTGGTTTTCTCGGACCAGTGGTGCGTATTAGCTGGAAGAGCTTCCGGTAATTGCCTACTGCTCCTGCCTCCTCCATTTCTTGAGCCCGACTGGTCCACCAGGCTTCCTTGTCAGCACGTAGGCTCCGCTTTAGTTCACGCCTAATAGCCCGTCTGGTCACATTGTGTTCAGAACCAGCCGGGAGGTGCCTTCTAGCTTCCAAAAGGTTCACGGACCTCTCGGATATCCAGTGACTGGTGCGATGACGACTGATAGTGCCACAAGCAGATGCTCCTGCGTCGTGCATAGTAGCCGAGACCTTATTCCACTGAAGTTCAGTATCATTAGGACAAGACAGCGAGAGTTCGCTACGCAGTGCTTCTTGATAGGCTTGTCTGACAGAGGGCTGGGACAATTTCTCCGTTGCCAATCGGGGGAGACGCTTTGTGCGCCTTCCGGTAAAGTTCATGGAGAAACGACAGCGCACCAAGGCATGGTCAGAGTCGACACAGGTACTCCAGTACGAGCGGCAATCTAGAATGGAACCGCGCCACCTGTAACTTATGGCTATGTGGTCAATTTGGGTCCATCGCTGACCAGCTACAGGTGGACGCCAAGTGGCACTTCGGCGCCCACTGTGTCTAAAAGCAGTGCTAGTAAGAAACAACTGATGCTCCGCACACAGTTGCAGCAGACGCTCGCCGTTGTCAGTCCGTTCGGAGTTAAGTCCATACTTACCGCCCAGCTGAGCTTCTGAAGAGCTCAGACGCCCTACTTGTGCGTTCATATCCCCTGCAAGTACTATAATATCTGAACTAGTAGCACTGCGTAGCAGCGTGTTCAGTTCGTGATAGAAAGTGTCCTTGACTGCATTAGAACTGCAGTCCGTGGCAGCATAAGCAGAAATCACAAACAAACAGCGTTTTGTTTTACTTCGCGAATTCACCTTAGCTGATGTCGTCAAACGGGCTGCACATAAACGACTGTTCACCGGAATCCAATCAACCAACGATAACTCAGCCTTGGAGCTGAGAATGATAACTACACCAGCTTGACCCGTGAGTGCCGCATCGGCGTCTCCGGATGCGTGCAACCAATAACGAGAGGATAAGCCGGGTGCAGTCAATTCAATAACCCCGTTAGGGTCATTAATCCTAGTTTCGGACACACAACACACATCAACACCCAGTGTGTCCAAGGTGCGTGCGAGTGCAGCCTGCTGCCCTGTTTGTCTTAGAGTGCGGACGTTGAATGTCGCCATGGAAACGGCACAGCGTGGTCTTATAAGGGACTTTTGCCGATAGCCGTCCGATAGGTGCTGTGGGATGGTGGCTGCAGATGGTTCTGCTCCAGTAGCACTTCGGTTGCTGTCAATTAAGCTGGGAATTATAGAAGGAAGGTTAGTAATGGGGGCCGGATTGGGAGTAAGAGAAAAAGGTAGAAAAGAAAGAAGGGAGGCGCCAGCAGTAGCATGCTTTCGCTTATCCGCCCTGCTGTATGCAGCAGATAAGGCGACCCTTGATAATCTGCGCGACGGCCGATGCAGGATGAAGTTTATGTTTGAAGAAAATGTCATGGTTGTATGTGGGCTGGGATACTGCCATGGCGCCCAGACCTAGACAGGAGAACGATTAGGGTCCTCATCCAAAGCCTTTGGCTCAAAAGCCTGTCCGCAAGGCAGCGGGGTGGCAGTGATTTAGTTTTACAGAAATGGACGCCATCCCATTTCAAACCCCCAACCTGGAGGACCAGGAGACTGAGTTTGTCTGACCTCTCACCATTGACCAACCTGGTAGGAGTAGCTCTCAAGATGCTCGGAGGCATCACCCAGTATAGCTCAATGGGTCAATGAGGTACGCAAACCGTCGCACCACGTTAAGGTCCAGTCTCATTGCGACGGAAGCTTTTATAGCGGAGGTAAGAATACTCCATCACTCTCCGTGGTTTTGTGAGTTTTTTTCCACTCACCCCTATTCACCCCGTCCTCTTTTACGGTTCCCCACATACGTTTCTATTACTTCACCTTTGTGACTAGCTTAGGTTGACACTGAATCTTATGCTTAATGGTTTTCCCTTACTCTGTACATTTCGCTCATTCGTGATGCATTGTATCGATCCTTCGCCCCGGGAATGACTAGCTTTGATTGATCGATTGTCAGCTTTTCTGCATAGCCTGTGTATATGCCCTAATTTGAATCGTCATTGAGTTGTACACACAGACGTTTGGTGGCCGGTTGGGCGTGCGGCGTGAACATTGTTTTTACCCGGTCGTTCGTGTTCTCACTACCGTTAGTGGGTGGAAGCAATCGTGGGGTTCCGGCACAACAGAAGCATACTGTATTGGGTTCCGACGT